TTTGATTTGTTTTATTGTAATATACAAGAAGAAAAATGGTTTCAGGGTGGGGATCTTGACTGTTTACAAGTTTTCAAAAAGAAGGGGGTGGGGTTTACCCTCGTGGACTTCCCCTAAATTTTATTTGATTTGTTTTATTGTCAAATACAAGAATAAATATGGTTTAGGGGTGGGGATCTCAACCGTTTACAATTCCTCAAACAGAAGGGGTGAGGGGTTACCACAATGGACTTCCCCTATATTTCATTTGATTTCTTTTATTGTCCCATACAAAAATATATATGTAGGACTCAAATCTATAGTGGGTTCCAAATCTATGGCAGATTCATAATCTATGGTAAATGTGACGTCATGCCATCCCAAATCTATGGCAGATTGTTTTACAATCCTAATCTATGGCAAGTTTTGTAATTTCCTAATCTATGGCGGGTTTTTTGTTGTTTTCAAATCTATGGCAAATTTTGTGCAAATTGAAAACAATGCAGTACATATACGACCAATGACTTGTCGTAAACAATTGGACATGTACGACGGGAGCATGTATATAAATATTTGTGAAATAAACATTTCATAATGGTCAACCAAATCGTGTTGGCAACCAATGAAATTCGTAAATGATGAAATCATATACCTTAATAAAGACTTCAAGATTGAAATGATGTGCACCGTAAAAATAAACATTTTTTAATCTGCATGTTACCTATTTAACCCATTCATTAAACCAGCTAATAAGTCCCTTATAAACAAAAAAAGGGGATAGTTTTTTTATAAAACAAAAATGATAAATAGAAATGAACAGTTTGAATTTTCAAATAATATTTACTTCATCGTTAATATCATTTTTATTTGATGGCGATTTAAATCAAATTGGTATCCGGTAATCTTATCTTTCACTTTATAAACTTTGCCAGCTGTAGACAGTAAAATATTTACCATAACTCCTTTTCTAAAATATCCGGTACTGAAAAAAGCGGTGCCCTTATTCATCGCGGTTTTCGGCCGGTACAGCACATTTTGTCCCTCTTCCGGATAATAGGTCATATCTTCCTTTAAACCATCCGCAAATTGTTGTCGAGGGAAATACCTTCATCTGGAATCGTGTTCAAATCTATGAGTTCCGCCACCGTTTGCGGCGGCGACGATGTAATATTGCGTTATTCTATTGTGAAATAATTTAAAGATCTGCCATAGATTTGGAGAAAACAAAAATCTGCCATAGATTTGATTTGTTTGACGTTATTACGTCACATTTGCCATAGATTAGGAATCTGCCATAGATTTGGAACCCGCCATAGATTTGAGTCCTACATATATGGTTTAGGGGTGGGGATCTTGACCGTTTACAAGATCTCAAACAGACACGCTGGGGGTGACCCCAGGGGACTCACCTTTTATTTCATTTGATTTGTAACATACAAGCATATTTATGGTTTCAGGGTGGGGAGCTTGCACATTTACAAGTTTAAAAAAAAGGAGGGTAGCTGTGAACCCGAGGACTAACCCTATATTTCATTTGATTTGTTTTATTGTCCCATACAAGAATATATATGGTTTAGGAGTAGGGATCTCAACCGATTACAAGATAAAAGCACATTATTAAATTGAAGGGGAGGGGGGGGGGGGGGGGGGTAGGGGTAAGAATATATATGAGTAACGGACACTTAATTATCTACAAAATGTCTAATAATGAACAGTAAATTCCAAACCTCATTTATACAGTAATACTAGTAAGTTTCAAACTGCATATATACAGTCCTACAGATCTTATCAGAAAACAGAAAATTTTCAAATAAATCTGTCACTCCAATGATTATCATATGCTAAAATATTTCCAAGATTTAATTAATAATGAAAATTAATCATTATCATATGCTGAAATATTTATAATATCTAATTGAACAGAACTATGGTTGTTTAACATAGTACTCTAACATAATTAATAATGTAATAATCTTCAAAATGTCTAATGATATAGCTTATAATCATTACCACTTAGGAAATAGATAATTTTCAAATAAATCTGTCACTCCAATTTTTATTCTGAGATAAGACAAATCATAACATGTCAGATAACAACAGTAAAATATTTTAAAATTCTACTTTTGGATATTAAAAATAGCGATAACTCACAAAGGAGATATACTAAAATCTTGAAAATTATTAGAAACCTTCATTAAGTCCCAGGAAACAACATATTTAAATTTGAAATAATTTGTAAAAGCGTTTTCATGTTATTGTGCTGACACTGTTTGGCAGCCGCCAAACCGCCCAGCCGCCCGCCGTATATCACCATTTTAATAACCGATATTTCCTTCGAAAATCCGGTTAAAAACTAATTAAAAAATGTGGATAGTGTCCACATGTGGACACAGATGATGCCCCCGCTTGCATATCATATAGTTATAAAGGGACATAACTGAAGAAGGGTAAAAGTGACGCTACCCAAATTTGAACTTGATCTGAGTTTTGTGGTCATAAGCATTGTGTGTAAGTCTCATAACATTTGGTTGAGGCTAACTTAAATAGAGAACAGAAGCTAAAAATTCAGCAATTTTTCTATTTGTAAACACGCATAACTCTAGAACGGTTGTGTATAAGTTTTATAACATTTGGGTGAGACAAACTAAAGTTAGAGAACGTAAACGAAAAATTCAGCAATTTTTATGTTTATAAAGGAACATAACTCAAGAATGGTAAAAGTGTTGCCACCAAATTTCGTACTTAATCTGTATTATGTAGTAATAAGCATTGTGTATAAGTTTCATAACATTTGGTTGAGGCAAACTAAAGTTGGAAAATGGAAACAAAAAATTTGTACTTGATCTTAGTTTTGTGGTAATGAATATTGTGTATAGGTTTCATTATGTTTGGTTGGGGCAAACTTAAGTTACAGAATGGAAACTAAAAATTTTGCAATCTTTCGATTTATAAAGGGGCATAACTCAATAATGGTTAAAGTGACAATACCCAAATTCAACTTGATCTGTGTTTTATCAGTGGAAGTCAAAATTAAACATTGCATTGTATAAAGCATTGATTGTAGTTGATTCAACTATAATCATGGACAAAGGAAGATAACTCCAATTTTAAAAATAACTAAATATTTAGAAGAAAATAAAAAATATGCAATTTTTCCATTTCTTAAGGTGTATTACTCTAGAACGATAAAAGTAACGCCACCAAAATTCAAACTTGATCTATGTTTTGTGGTAATAAGCATTGTGTATAAGTTTCATAACATTTGTTTGAGGCAAACTAAAATTAGAGAACAGAAACGAAAAATTCAGCAATTTTTTCCATTTGTAAAGGGGCATAACTCTAGAACGGTAAAAGTGACGCCACCAAAATTCAAACTTGATCTGTGTTTTATGGTAATCAGCATTGTGTAAAAGTTTCATAACATTTGGTTGAGGCAAACTAAAGTTAGAGAACGGAAACCAATTTTGGGACGTACGTACGTACGTACGGACGGACAAGGGTAAAACTTAATGCCCCCTCCGCTACGGCGGGGGCATAAAAATTTGAAATTATGTCTTGGGTTAAAGGCTATTGGTACTCATGATTCTTTGTACAATTAAAAAAACAATGTTGATTATCAGAACCTCCTTTAAAAATGGCACACCCCATACATTAGTGGTTCATCTTATCATAATCTGATATAATTAAAAACTTTAGACATTATCAAGATGCTTGATTTCTTGATTGACAACATATTTGTTACGTTTGGAGGACGTGTTTTTCAACAAACAATCAGCATTCCCATGGGAACCAACTGTGCCCCTCTTCTTGCCGACTTGTTCCTTTATTCTTATAGACTGACTTCATACAAGAACTTCTTGGGAAGATAGAAAAGAAGTTAGCAATATCCTTTAAATTTACTTTCCACTGTATAGATGATGTTCTCTCACTAAATAATTCAAAATAGGTGACTTTGTTGAACTAGTATCCCATCGAACTAGAGATAAAGGATACAACAGATACAGTTAAGTCTGTCTCATATCCTTCAATCTTTAAATTGACAATGAGGGTTGGTTGAAAACAAAAATTTACGATAAAAGAGATGATTTCAGCTTCCCAATTGTGAACTTTCCATTTCTCTGTAGCAACATTCCAGCAGCGCCTGCATACGAAGTATATATCTCCCGATTGATACTCCCAGGCTTGCATTTCCTATCATGATTTCCACGACAGAGAGTTGCTGCTCACAAGAAAGCTATTAAACCAAGAGTTCCAAGTGGTTAAGTTGAAATCATCCCATCGTATATTTTTCGGACGACATCAGAGTTATAGAACATCCGTTTCACAGATGATATCGGATATATTCCTTATGTCGGAACTACAGTTCTCTTTCCACGAATATGACCTACCGACTTATTCACCGTTTTTTTTATAACATGAGAAACGCGACGGGTTCCACATATGGAGCAGGATCTGCTTACCCTTCCGGAGCACCTGAGATCACCCCTAGTTTTTGGTGGGGTTCGTGTTGCTTAGTCTTTAGTTTTCTATGTTGTGTCTTATGTACTTTTGTTTCTCTGTTTGTCTTTTTTTTAGCCATGGCGTTGTCAGTATATTTTCGATCTATGAGTTTAAAAGTCCCTCTGGTATCTTTTGCCCATATCTTAAAATTAAAAAAAAATAGGCCACGATTGAGGGGCAGGTCAAAGTATGTACATGATAAAAAAATTAGTCAATGCTTATATTAAAACTGAATACCAAATATCCCTGGCCTTCCACTTGTGATTTCCCATTAAACTGATCTATTCACAAAATTTTTCATGTTAACCATGCTAAGCGTCAATAACTAAGGTTGAAGGGCCAAATAGTCCCAATGGAAACTACATGTAACAATGGTTATAAAACTGCATACCATACATCGGTTATCTTCCACTATAGTTTCCACTTAAACTGATCTACTGGTAGTCAATTTTAATCTTGTTGAAGCCGAGTGTATGCCAAAGTAAAGCTTTTTGAACTTTGTAGAGGCAAGACAAAAAATCTCAAGACATAACATTTTTTATTAAATAAAAGAAACAACCATTATTTTCAGAGATTCAGCGGAATGTCTTCTGCTTACATGAGAATCAACACAATTCATTTGAACATGTCGATATAATCTTAAAATGAGAAACCAGGTACTAGTAGCTTTACATATTATCTTATTGATATTACATTTTTGGCTAGAAAATAACAAATCTAACCATAAATAACACCAGATTTGTTTTACATTTGTGATCCTTTATTTCATAACACTTCTTCATCATTAATCTCAATTTGCTTTGACCCTTGACAATAACAAATTTGAAAATGCATCCATAACACGTTTAAATGGAATATTCTTGATTTGCATGACAACATTACAGACATCACTGTCATATAAATTCAAGGGACAAAAGAATAATAAACTGCTTCGCTGAGCGCAGTTGGATACGCCTGCAGAGGTCCAACCCTGAACAGTTGGGGCAAAAATGGACACAATATTCAAGATTGATACAGGTCTGAATTTGGATTGTAATTAAATATTTGACATATTACAGGTTTCTGAATAAATGTAGTCAAAGAAGTTGAAATTGGTTATATGAATTGAATTTATATTCAATTGAAGATTTCTTGCTATTGTGCAATACACTGTGCTGTTGTGCAATACTTAGTAAATCTGTTGTCAGACTATAAACAAATAAAGTTCAATTAATTCTCAATGTCATATTAGAAATTTATCAAAGTCAAAAGGGAGCTTACATCAATAGATATAAACAATTCACCAAAGTTTCATGAGAATTGCTGACAGCATTTTTGAGTTATTGTTCGAAAACTGGAAAATCCCCCCCTTTTTAATGAATAAAACCCCATAACTCAGAAATGTAAAATGGAAAATTTATAAAATTCTAAAGGGAGCTCATATCAATAGATATAAACAATTCACCAAAGTTTCATAAGAACTGCTGAAAGCATTTTTGAGTTTTTGTCTGAAAACTGGAAAATCCCCCTTTATTTTTTAATAAAACCCTGTAACTCGGAAACGTAAAATCTAAAATTTATAAAAATCGAAAGGGAGCTCATGTCAATAGATATAAACAATTCACCACAATTTCTTGCAAGTTGGTGAAAGCATTCTTGAGTTATTGTCCGAAAATTGGAAAATCCCCCTTTTTTTAAATGAATAAAACCCCATAACTCGGAAACGTAAAATCTAAAATTTATAAAAAATGAAAGGGAGCTCACGTCAATAAATTTAAACAATTCACCAAAGTTTTATGCAAATTGGTTAAAGCGTTTTTGAGTTAATGTCCGACATGTTGACGACGGACAGACAGACGGACAACGGTATACCATAATACGTCCCGTATAAAAATCATGCTTCATAATATACCTATAAAATATTGAAAATTATTTAGCTTTTGATAATAATCTCAGTATTTCATTGAAAGAGATCTATAACAACTTTGGACTACAATTTGCTACTATCTGACGATATTTAGACCATACACTGATATGTCAATCAAACATGAATGTGTGTGTTTGTTTTTTCTACATTGGCTTGAGGTACAGGGGGAGGTTGAGATCTCACAAAACATGTTTAACCCCGCTGCATTTTTGCGCCTGGTCCAAGTCAGGAGCCTCTGGCCTTTGTTAGTCTTTAATGATTTTTAATTTTAGTACATTTATATGTTTTGGAATTTAGCACATTATCACTAGACTAATACATATTTTTGTTTAGGGGCCATCTGAAAACACGCCTCCGGGTGGCCTTCAGTTGTTTTTTTGCTCTTTGGTCGGGTTGTTGTCTCTTTGACACATTCCGCATTTCTCGTCTCATTTTTATGAAGCCTTACTATTCAAAAGATAAATTTGACTCTTCAAATTATTGTAACTAAACAAGAAAATGTTATTTACATAATAGAAATGATTTGAAGCAAAGCTGTTTCATGACAAAAAAATATTAAACATTTCTGAGTTATTTCTTTTCAACATTGAGTTAAAAACGTTTAATATAACAATTTCATAGCCATTACAGTCAAAACAAAAAGCATTCTTAATTTTAGATACTTAAGATGGAAAGTCATTTTAATTACATTAAATAAGTGCAGTATTACATGCAGTAAAGCCGAAATGCAAACAAAAAATAAAGTTGCTGCTTCAAACTTTCCAAAATATTGGGTAGGGGTAAAAGTTCTTGTTTTGATTACTTTTTCCTTCCCCTAAAAGACAATTTTGACTGATATTATTTGAAGATAAGATAAGATAAGGATTATTTAATAATAGTGTCAATTATTAATCTTACAAGCAAAGATACAAGATCAATACGTAAAAACCCTGTTAAAAAAAAAATCATTACCCAGCATATAAACACTAAATATACAACTAAACACATTAAAAATATATAATTTATAAATTATTTACAAGCACATCTTTAATAAGGTCAAAAATATATCATCACTTATACCACCAGACAAAGCTAAAATTTCATAAAGGAGAATGACTGATTAAGCCTCCTTTTTGGTCCCTTGAATTCTGAAAATATCCTTCATAATATAAAGACAATAACCTCTTTGTGTTAGTTTGTGAAGTTTTGAATTTTGTCTTACCAATAAAATTTCTACAAAAGCTTCAAAAGTGAGGGAAAATTGCCAATGCAGCCGCATTTTGAGATGTTATTAGTTTCCCCATAAAGATATTTTTATGAGATGTATTTTACAATAAAATGCTCCGCAGGGCGCAGCTTGATACGACCGCAGAGGTCGAACCCTGAACAGTTGGGGCAAGTATGGACACAACATTCAAGCTTGATACAGCTCTGAATTTGGATTGTGATTAAATATTTGACACAGCATAGGTTTCTGACACAGAATGAATGTGGTCTAAGAACTTAAAAATTTTAAATTGGACATTCACCTATTATGGTCCAATATCCAAAATCTAAATACATGGTTAGATTCAGCATATCAAAGAACCCCAAGAATTCAATTTTTGATGAAATCAAACAAAGTTTAATTTTGGACCCTTTTGATCTCAATGTGGACAAAAATGATAACAGGGCCCAAAAATCAAAAATCTAAATACATGTTTAGATTCAGCATATCAAAGAACCCTAAAAATTCAATTTTTGTTAAAATCAAACTAAGTTTAATTTTGGACCCTTTGGACCTTTATGTAGACCAATTTGAAAACGGAACCAAAAATTAAGAATCTAAATACACGGTTAGATTCGGCATATCAAAGAACCCCAATAATTCAATTTTTGATGAAAATCAAACAAAGTTAAATTTTGGACCCTTTGGACTTCAATGTGGACCAATTTAAAAACGGGGCCCAAAATCCAAAAACTTAATACACGGTTAGATTCAGCATATTACAGAACCCCATATATTAAATTTTTGTTGAAATCAAACAAAGTTTAATTTTGGACCCCGATTTGGAACAACTTGAAAACTGGGCCCATAATCAAAAATCTAAATACATGGTTAGATTCAGCTTATCAAAGAACCCCATATATTCAATTTTTGTTGAAATCAAACAAAGTTTAATTTTGGACCCCGATTTGGACCAACTTGAAAACTGGGCCCATAATCAAAAATCTGAATACATGGTTAGATTCAGCATATCAAAGAACCCCATATATTCAATTTTTGATGAAATCAAACAAAGTTTAATTTTGGACCCTTTTGATCTCAATGTGGACAAAGTTGATAACGGGGCCCAACAATCAAAAATCTAAATACATGGTTAGATTCAGCTTATCAAAGAACCCCATATATTCAATTTTTGTTGAAATCAAACAAAGTTTAATTTTGGACCCCGATTTGGACCAACTTAAAAACTGGGCCCATAATCAAAAATCTAAATACATGGTTAGATTCAGCATATCAAAGAACCCCATATATTCAATTTTTGTTGAAATCAAACAAAGTTTAATTTTGGACCCCGATTTGGACCAACTCGAAAACTGGGCCCATAATCAAAAATCTAAATACATGGTTAGATTCAGCATATCAAAGAACCCCATATATTCAATTTTTGTTGAAATCAAACAAAGTTTAATTTTGGACCCTTTGGACCTTTATGTAGACCAATTTGAAAACAGAACCAAAAATTAAGAATCTAAATACACGGTTAGATTCGGCATATCAAAGAACCCCAATAATTCAATTTTTGATGAAATCAAACAAAGTAAAATGTTGGACCCTTTGGACCTCAATGTGGACCAATTTAAAAACGGGGCCCAAAATCCAAAAACTTAATACACGGTTAGATTCAGCATATTAAAGAACCCCAAGAATTCAAGAATAAAACCCCATTGAAATTGATCAAGAAATAAGCAATTTATACGAAGTATCTTCTTTTGCACAATACTGTGCAATTGATTATTTCTTGCTATTGCGCAATACTGTACAATTGACAATTTCTTGCTATTGCGCAATATTGTGCTATTGGATATTTCTTGCTATTGCGCAATACTGTGCAATTGAAGATTTCTTGCTATTGCGCAATACTGTGCAATTGAAGATTTCTTGCTATTGTGCAATACTGTGCAATTGAAAATTTCTTGCTATTGCACAATACTTATTATATAATAATTTACACATCCTGTTTGGTGTGTATCTCCTACCATATCATTATTATTTGCTTTTAAATATAAATCAGAAATAACCAACTTAAAATGGAAAATTTTAAAAGAAAAAAAAAAGGAAAAAAAGAAAAAAAAAAGAAAAAAAAAATCCCCCCCCAAAATTTTTTGAACCCCCTTATGATTCATCACCCCAAACTCAATCTCAGCCTTCCCTTTGTGGTATGGTACCTTGCAGTACAATTTCAGAGAGATCCATACACTTGAACACAAGTTATTGTCTGGAAACTAGAAAAATGCTTATTTTTGGCCCCTTTTTGGCCCCCAATTCCTAAACGTTTCGGGCAATTACCCCCAAACTCAATTCCAGCTTTCCCTTTGTGATATGGAACCTTGTAGTACAATTTCAGAAATATCCAAACACTTACACACAAGTTATTGTCATGAAACTAGAAAAATGCTTGTTTTTTGCCCCTTTTTTGGCCCCTAATTCCTAACATTTTGAGGCAATTACCCCCAAAATCAATTACAGCCTTCCCTTTGTGATATGGAACCTTGTGGTACAATGTCAGAGAGATCCATACACTTACACACAAGTTATTGTCTGGAAGTTACAAAAATGCTTATTGTTGGCCCCTTTTTGGCCCCTAATTCCTTAACTGTAGGTACCATAACCCCCAAAATCAATCCCAACCTTCCTTTCATGGTATTGAACCTTATGGTAAAATTTCATGGAGATCCATTCACTTAAACTAAAGTTAGAGTGCGAAAACCAACGTGTCTTCGGACGACGCCAGACGACGCCGGACGACGACGACGACGACGACGACAACGACGACGACGACGACGACGACGACGCCAACGTCATACCAATATACGACCAAAAAATTTTCAATTTTTGCGGTCGTATAAAAATGTTATGTCTGTAAACTGTCTTTTTATGTATGGCCTTGAAGTTTTGTCTAAAAACTATGCATAAAATGACATTTCATGCGCATTTCAATTTATGTTTATGACATCAGTGACCTTTCTGCACTAAAATAACCAATAAATTAACATGATTTTAAAGGATTTGCATACGTAATTCGCCATTTCAGGGATCCAATAATGGCTCTTATCATATTTCCTCCTTTAATGATTAAAATAGTTCAATTTCATTCCTAAATAAAAGACAAACGGTAAGCATCATACTTTATCATTGATCAAACTGGAATGGAACTGGAACTGGAATATCTTGGAACTTTGCAAAAACCTTGCTATTATCAACACATAATAAAGCATCTTTTAAATATACAGGTAAAAGGCATTTTCCTCATTGTTTAAGGGTTAGGGTTAAAATATGGTCAATTATCTCAGCAAAATGCTTTCGTTAAAGTTACATTATTATTATAAAAAACTTCCTTTACAAAACTTATTATATATATATAATCAAAAATAAAGAACAACATAATATATTTAAATATTTCAAACTATAAATTGAAAAAACAAACAAGAACTCTATAAAAAATGTTGATGCGTATGTGATTTCTGTTCATCCATGACCAAAATCAATTTGTCAGCATCAATTATATTGATCTTTATCTGAACTGAAGACCCTACAATATAATCACACAATTAATTAGTGTACATATTAACTAACATATATTTCATGAATGTTGCATAATTTTGCTTTACATCTCTTATACATTCCATTGTTCACAACCTTACATTAGTAAGAAATGAATTCATCATTAAATCCTTACTACTTTGCATATAGTATTCAACATAACATACATGTCACCTCAAAATATTTTTGATTTATCCAAGGTAATGTGTTCAAGTTATTACTTATCAAATTACTATTCAATAGATGTATTTTAATAAAATATATGTAAATAAACATAAATTTACTTCTGTACAAAGTAAACTGCAGGACCTTAAGTGCATGTGTTGCTCACCTAGGTCTAATTGCATCTTCAAAATTTGACATTTATACTAGAATAGAATCTGAAATCATGACAAAATTATCTTTTTAAAATTTTGTATGGCTGATGATTGTTTCTGTAAACAGCTCCTCTCTAATTTTTGTAGTCTTTTCCCAAAACACAAAAGGGTAAATATGTTGTCATTTAAAACCAATCACTCATATAAAGAATCTGCTAAAAATTTTAGCCAAATATAACTTTTTGTAGATGTTGTTTTGCTGATCACGTTTGTTATATATAGTTTCTATCTATGTTTTATAGTTTTCAAGATAATGGGCAAAAATGCAAAACAATGTAAAATAATTGTCATTAAAGAGCAAGAACTCCCAAATAGGATAAAAACATGAGAGAAACAGATTCCAACACTATAACTCGTGTATTACGATATTTCTCCATTCTCAACAGTTAAATTTTAATAATTTAAAAAGCTCGGCAAGCCTCGCTCTTTAAGTATTAAAATTTAACTGTCTCGAGTTGAGAAATTTCGTATCACACTTGTTGCAGTTATGGAAACTATATTTCTACAATGTATTGGTATTTTTTTACTACATGTCCCTGTTGAACAATAAACATTGAACTAATCGACTATGTGAAAATATCTGTTTTTGATTGTAATGTAATTTTGTATGTGAGGACCTCAGGGAAGATTAGTTTACTGTAACATACCTGCTTACAGTGTTTACCCTCTTTAAATAAAGAATTAATCATTATAATTATTATTATTATCATCTTTATTACTCATCATGGTTAACTGACATACCAAAAGATCAGTCAGGCCAATATATGAATGCGTATAGAAACAAGCATTCTGAGAGTATTGCATGGCAATACATAGTCCCCTACCGGTTAAAAATTAATTGTACTGGAACCAAATGCTAACTTGATCTATAACTTGTCATGGTGTAACCTATATTACAAATATCAAGTCAATATCTTCCAGCATGATAAAACAAGAGGCTGTCAGAGAGACAGCAAACCGGATTTTCCTGCAGAGGTCAAACCCTGAACAGTTGAGCAAGTATAGACACAACATTTAAGCTTAAAACAGCTCTGAATTTAAATTGTGATTGAATATTTGATACAGAATGGGTTTGTGACACAAAATAAATGTGGTCAAAGAACTGAAAAATTTAAAATTGAACATTTACCTATTATGGTCCAATATCCAAAATATAAGTACATTACTAGAATCAGCATATCAAAGAACCCCAAGAATTCATTTTTTGATGAAATACTTCTTAGTTAAACCATTTCTGTTCAAATGGAAATAACTCAAACTTTATTTCCATGAACCAATAATGTAAATCTAAAATTAAATATGATTTAACTATAGACTCTAAAATTAGATATGATGTAAAGTGATATGATGTTATATTTATTTTTAAATTATAATCAAATATAATCAATAGTTTTCCAATAAATCTGTCACTCATATTATAATTGGGTGATTGCATTGACAATTAACAGATGTGTCTTTTATCTTATCACTTAGTGTATAAATCAAAATCAAACTTTATATATATAGTTGATAGTTCCCAATATTTTTTCTTTCATTTGTAACATACTTATATAGATCTGCAACTTATTTTATCTTAATTTTAACTTTTTATACGCCCGTTTACGGGACGTATTATGGTAAACCGTTGTCTGTCCGTCTGTCCGTCCATCCGTCCGTCCGTGGTCAACATGTCGAACATTAACTCAAAAATGCTTCAACCAATTTGCATACAACTTTGGTGAATTGTTTATATCTATTGACGTGAGCTCCCTTTTGTTTTTTATAAATTTTAGATTTTACGTTTCCGAGTTATGGTACACAATTTTTCAATCTTTCAAGAACCGTAACTCAATTTTTTAATCTTTCAAGAACTATAACTCCTGATCAGAAATAGTGAAAATCTTGAATATCAAACTTGACCTCCATTTTGTCATCAGTAACAACATATTAAAATTTAATCAGCATTAGTTGAACAGTTCATGAGTACATGACTGGAAACGCCATTTTTTCAATATTTCAAGAACCGTAACTCCTGAACGGTAAAAGAGAAAATCATCATTATCCTACTTGACCTCCATTTTGTCATCAGTAACAACATTAAAAAATTTGAAAAGCTTTGGTTGAATGGTTCATGAGTAAATGCAACAACATGACTGGAAACGCCATTTTTCAATCTTTCAAGAACCATAACTTCTGAACAGGAAAAGTGAAAATCGCCATTATTGAACTTGACCTCCATTTTGTCATCAGTAACAACAAATTTAAAATTGAAAGCTTTGGTTGAACAGTTCATGAGTAAATGCACGGACACGACTAGAAACGCCATTTTTCAATCTTTCAAGAACCATAACTCTTGAACGGTAAAAGTCAAAATCGTCATTATTGAACTTGACCTCCATTTTGTTGTCAGTAACAACATATTAAAATTTTTAAAGCTTTGGTTGAACGGTTCATGAGTAAATGCACGGACAAAAACCGCCCACCCGCCCGCCGTACATCCCCAAATCGATAACCGATATTTTCATCGAAAATCCGGTTAAAAAGTGTGAAAACATTATTTAAGTTAATTTTCTAAGTCCAAGGACCATAACTCTGCACACAATCATCAGACAGAAGTAAACTTTTATCTTAGTCTGTTACTTGTCATGATAAAACTATATACCAATTATCCAATCAATATCTTCAAGCTTGACGAAAAAAAAAAAGTATGGAAAACTGATTATTTGTTTAAATTTTCTAAGTTCATGAACCATAACTCTGCATAACATTATCAGACCTGAACAAAATCTGAAATTGATCTGTAACTTGTCATGATAAAACAATATAACAAATATCCAATCAATATCTTCAAGCATGATGAAAAAAAGTGCAGAAAACTAAATATTTGATTGAATTTTCAAAGTCCAAGGATCATAACTCTGCACAAAATTATCAGACTGGAACAAAATTTGAACTTGATCTGCAACTTGTCATGATAAAACAATATACAAAATATCAAATCAATATCTTCAGACACGAAGAAAAAAAGTGTGGAAAACTGATTTGCCGGACTGACGGATGGAAAAACAGACAGACGGACAGAGTGCAAAACTAAAGTCCCCTTCGACTTCGTCGATAGGGGACTAAAAAAAATCTGTATAACTGTGATTTTCAACAATTTATCAAAGTCCAAAGTCCGTAATTTTGTCAAAAACTAGCAGAGCAAAACGGAACTTAAACTTGATCTATAACTCATCATGGTTAACTCACCATGCTCACATTCCAAAAATCAGCCCAATATCTGAAGGCGTTTAGAACAAAAAAGTCCTTATAACTGTGATTTTCAACAATTTATCAAAGTCCAAAGCCCATAATTTCGACAAAAATTAGCAGAGCAGAACGAAACTTAAACTTGACTGTAACTCATCATGGTTAACTCGCATACAAAAAATCAGCCCAATATCTGAAGGCTTTTAGAAAAAAATAGCGTATAATGATGTGTGCGGAATGACAGAATGACCGAATGAAGGAGTGATGGAATGACAGAATGAGGAAATGATGGAATGTCTGAATGAGAGAATGACAGAATGACAGACAAGGGAAAAAACTATATGACCATAATAACTTTGTTGCGGGGCCATACATAAAGTAAGCATTTCATTGGAAGTAGTAATGAAACTTTTACAAAAGCTGTCAAGTGAAGCCATGCCCTGAATGGGTCACTTAATTTGAGTTAACAAAGCTAGTTGAACTTCCTGTCCATGAAGAAGTTTGCAGGTACATGTATTTTAAATGAAAATCACGTATGAAATCTATAACATTTTATACTTAGTCTAAGGGCATAAGAATACTGATGAAAACAGGTCAAATGTCGAAATTACAGGTTATTTGATGACCCTGGTAGGTATAGAAACATCGGGGATGAGCTTCCAAAATATGGGTCAGTTGAAAGCTATCCATTTTTTTTTACTTGATACTTCAATGATGATTGTAGACAAGTTTGGTTCCGATTGGCCAAGTAGTTTCAGAAGAGATGATTTACGTACAGGTTAACGAACAATGGCAATGGAAGACCACGAGGGAGAAGGACAACAGACGCCAAGTGATGACAAAAGCTCACTTGGCCCTACAACAACTAGGGAGGACAAAGGACGACGAGTAATGAGAAAAGCTCAATAGGCCCTGTTGGTCAGGTGAGCTAAAAAAAGAAGGTAATTTAAGGACAATAACTCTAATAGAAAGTCTTTTGACAGTTTAGACGTAATGTGGATAAAAGGTAAAGCTCAACATTCTGCACATTTCTGCCCCTGTAAGATTTTCTCATATTACAGCAGTTTTCAAAGCAATAGACAAAACTTGCACTTCCCCCATCTGTTCTATTTTAAGCAATGTCTGCCATCTTGGTTTGATAGCAAGATTCATTTGATTTTTTTTATAAACTAGATACCCCTATGATGCCTGTGTCCAAGTTTGGTTTGATTAATTTGGCCCAGTAGTTTCAGAGGAGAACATTTTTGTAAAAGTTTAACGGACGTCAAATACAAAGACAGAAACAAAGTGAAATTGAGCCATATAGAATAGTATGGATGTTTACCTATTGTTGAAGACTATATTTTGACCTTTAGGTGTCAAACCAACAATTCAAAATCTCAAGATATTCAACAAATTGAAGAAAAGTAAGAAGATACCATTAGGACAATCAAAAGAAGTCAAAGATTTAATCCATAATGATCTATGACACAGATATTCCAAGAAATCATTAAATCATCACAGCATCTATTATTGAAGGCTGTACAGTGACCTATGGTTAATAACTTTAGCTGATGGAGAGCTTTCTCATTTGCAATCATACCACTTCTTCTTAAACTTATCTATCAATTATCCAGACCTACAATTATCACACTATAGCAAATCGTCTTTTTCTTCTTCTGTCTTCTACTCCCTTTGTTGCCTTCTCCTTTTGAGTATCCATTTTAGGACATTATATCCTGCATATGTAACTAGTGCAATTCCTATAACACATCCAGCAATCGGCACAGCTTTAATAATAAACACAGAATGTTTGTATGATGAATTTCTTTATTAGCAAAGAAAATTATTTTCACAACTACTATGCATAGTGCTAACATGTATTAGATCTTATTGATAGCAAGGGATAAAAGTAAAAAAGGTAAATGAATGTTAGGTGTTAAGTCAACACAATAACATTAGGCTCAGGGGAAACAACTCAATTCAACAAAGCAGATAAAAATCAAACAAGATTGTAGGGTAGGAGCATATATTTTGGAAAGTTAAAACTTGTATCATATAACATTTAATAGCTGTTGTTGTCATGACAGTTAAAGAGACCATGTTTCCTAACAGTTTTCTGTACTACTGGTTATTTCATGAAATATTTTTTCTATAACTATAAAAAAGAACTAGACAAAGTGATGCCCCGCACTCCACTCTGAAGTAACTGTATTATAACAAATTCAATGTAGGACTTTCTTTGAGATATTATTGTGTCTGGGAGACACAATTGATGCCCCCGCAGATGCAAAGTGTTATTTTAAAATAACTATAACATTTTACCGCTTATATCCCAAAAATGACAAAGTTCAACTATCTCCCAAAAGAGCAAATATCAATAACAAGAGTGCAGACGCTGAAATGTCTCGCCTTCTTTACTAACCACTGATTTTATGTTGATAATCCTAAATACAAAGCTTTACTACAAGTAACACATAAACTTAACATGATCCAAGAAAATGAGGTCAAGGTCAGATAAACCAAACGAGAAATACATGTACACCTTACAATCATTCAATAAACCAAACATAGTTGACCTATTGCTTATTGTTTCTAAGAAACAGTCTTAAACAAGACAACTTAACATTGACCAATGAACCATGAAAATGAGGTCAAGGTCAGATGAACCATGCCAGACAGACATGTACACCTAACAATCAATTTAGGCATAAATTTCTTGGTATTCCTAAACGGAAGATTTTATACACACAGAAGAAGAAGTATACTTAACAAAATTATTTTCATTTACCTGTGTATAATATGACGCAGGTTTCTTCAATAGTGATGATTTTCTATAAATTGTTTGAAATTTCACAGTGATATCATACTTTAACTTTGTTTAAACCTGTTTATTTACTTTTGACTTTAATTATTTATCCCTTGTAATTTTTTATTAACTGTGTATTTGCATTCAGGTGTCACAGGTAAAATTTATTCAGTCATTGTGTGTTAATTTACGTTTTTTGATTGAGTTAAGCCTTCCAATTGATATTTTATAGTGTGTTTTTCTATGTTGTGATGTTATACTATTGTTTCAGAAAATGGAGAAGGTTTGGTACCATTAAAACGTTTAATCCCGCTGCAAATGTTTGCACCTGTCCTAAGTCAGGAATCTGATTACAGTAGTTGTCGTCTGTTTATGTAGTTCATACGTGTTTCTCGTTTCTTGTTTTTATATAGATTAGACCGTTGGTTTTTCCGTTTGAATGGTTTTACACTAGTAATTTTTTGGGGCCCTTTATAGCTTGCTGTTCGGTGTGAGCCAATGCTCCGTGTTGAAGGCCGTACCTTGACCTATAATGGTTTACTTTTATAAATTGTAACTTGGATGGAGAGTTGTCTCATTGGCACTCATACCACATCTTCATATATCTATTAAATATAGTTCACCTATAGCTTATAGTATCTAAGAAACAAACTTAACCATGAAAACTTAACATTGACCAATGAACCATGAAAATGAGGTCTAGGTCAGATGATACCTGCCAGACAGACATATACACCTTACAATCCTTCCATACATCAAATATAGTTGATCTATTGCTTATAGTTGAAGAAAAACAGACCAAAACACAATAAACTGCTTCGCTGAGCGCAGCTGGATTCGCCCGCAGAGGTCCAACCCTGAACAGTTGGGGCAAAAAAGGACACAATATTCAAGCTTGATACAGGTCTGAATTTGGATTGTAATTAAATATTTGACATATTATAGGTTTCTGAATAAATGTAGTCAAAGAAGTTGAAATTGGTTATATGAATTGAATTTATTAAAGATTTCTTGCTGTTGTGCAATACATTGCGCAATACTTAGTAAATCTGTTGTCAGACTATAAACAAATAAAGTTCAATTAATTCTCAATGTCATATTAGAAATTTATAAAAATCAAAAGGGAGCTTACATCAATAGATATAAACAATTCAACAAAGTTTCATGAGAATTGCTGACAGCATTTTTTGAGTTATTGTCCAAAAAAAATGGAAAATCCCCCCTTTTTTAATGAATAAAACCCTGTAAACTCGGAAACATAAAATCTAAAATTTATAAAAATCGAAAGGGAGCTCATGTCAATAGATATAAACAATTCACCAAAATTTCTTGCATGTTTGTGAAAGCATTCTTGAGTAATTGTCTGAAAACTGGAAAATCCCCCTTTTTTTAATGAATAAAACCCCATAACTCGGAAACGAAAAATCTGAAATTTATAAAAAACAAAAGGAAGCTCACGTCAATAGATATAATCAATTCAACAAAGTTTTATGCAAATTGGTTAAAGCGTTTTTGGGTTAATGTCCGACATGTTGACGACGGACGGACAGACAGACGGACAGACGGTCAACGGTATACCATAATATGCCCCGTAAACAGGCGTATAAAAACTAAACACCAATAAATGAACCGTGAAAAAGAGGTCAAGGTCAAATAAAACCTGTGAGACTGACATGTACATCATAAAATATTTCCTTACACCATTTATAGTTGACCTATTGCATATAGTATTAGAAAAAAGACCAAAACTCAAAAATTTAACTTTGACCACTGAACCATGAAAATGAGGTCAAGGTCAGATGACACCTACCAGTTGGACATATACACCTTACAATCATTCCATACACCAAATATAGTAGACCTACTGCTTATAGTATCTGATATATGGACTTGACCACGAAAACTTAAACTTGTTCACTGATCCATGAAATGAGGTCGAGGTCAAATGAAAATTGTCTGACGGGCATGAAGACCTTGCAAGGTACACACATACTAAATATAGTTATCCTATTACTCATAATAAGAAAGAAATTAACATTACAAAAAATGGTGACTTTTTTTTCAAGTAGTCACTGAACAATGAAAATGAGGTCAAGGACAATAGACATATGACAGACGGAAACTTCGTAACATAAGGCATCTATATACAAAGTATGAAGCATCCAGGTCTTCTAGATTCTAAAATATAAAGCTTTTAATAAGTTAGCTAACGCCGCCGCCATGGCCAGATCACTATCCCGATGTCGAGCTTTCTGCGACAAAAGTCGCAGGCTCGTCAAAAATCAAAACCCTGACCACATGCACACCTTCAATATATGTACAAACAGCCAGCAAAGTGAAAACTTACTAGTATTCAAACTGTAGGAGGATTTATCTGGAAACGCTCCTCTTATGCAAGGAACACTACAAAAGTCTAAAAGTCTGAAAAGACCAGTTTTTGTCTTAATTTGCATGAACTTTTACTCGACATTCTCCAAAAGTATGACTTGTGTCTTAATTTTTCTTGACAAATTCTCATTTATATTAAATTTGTATGAAATTTACTTGACATATTCTCGACATTCTGAATATAGTCTTAAAATTTCTTGACAAATTCTTGACATTTGAATACTGTCTTGAAATTTCTCGACATATTCTCCACATTCTTATTTTTTCTCAGTATGGCTTGACATATTCTGAACATTTTGAATCTAGTCTTAAATTTACTTGACAGTTCTGAGTTTTACAAATCATGACCAATATTCATGATATAACTTTAATCTTTATTTCTCTTTATATGATATACTGTTGTTTCAAGTTACACTTCTTTACAACAAAAATAAAAGTTGCGCATGTAAAATAATTGAAAATTTGGGTATATAAATATTTTTACAAATGCAAATATGGCTATGAAATCTAAAGTATAAAATAATTCAAATATGGGTGTGTTGATATAAAACAATTTCAATGTGGGTTTTTAAATAATTACAAATTTCGATTCCTAAATCTTATAAATTAAATGATTCAAACCAATCATACTGTAGACATATTTCATTCTACATTCATAATATTCAATGTTGATATGGTAAATAATTATTATACCAAAATGTGGTTTATATAAATAGCAAATTATGATGATATACAAATCATTCATTTAACAGAAGAAAAATTTGTGTAATGTCATCTGTTGGAATATATTAAGTATTACACATGGACAGGATGTTCCCCATAAAATTAAGGTATTCCACACCCCAGAGTACACGCAACTGTCAAATAGAAGTTATTGCTTTACCTGTACCTTATCAGTTGACCGACCATGCCACTACAATTAAAAAAGTTTGTTGATAGATGAAAATGAAAATCATCATTTTGATGAAAACAATGGATTTTCTTCATCAAAATTATGAAGTTAATTATTTTCACATAAAAACAAATTGAATAATTCCCAAAGATTAAAAGAAAATTATTATCTACTCCAGGAATAATAAAAAAAATGTATTTATAATGGGTCCCATCAATGATTTCTATAGAAATCATCGGTCTTATGAAATGGTTCTCAAACAGACATGCATAATAAAGATCTAAACATTTTTTTCTTTTCAGGAAGGAGTTATCACAAATATATATTTTTGATAAAAAATTATAAAATTCAACACTTAAATTTGAATAAAAAATGTTTTTGGGTTGTTCTAAAAAATGAATAAGATGGGAACAAATTCTTTGACCTAAACGAAAGCCCCTCCCCCCCCCCCCTCTTTTTTTAGCCACACAAACCCAAAAGATGAATTGTGGGGTCCAAAAGAGATACAAGACACCATTTTTAGTAAAGCAAATTTGACTGGCAGTTTTGCGAACGGCAAAAATCTAAATGCTGTTTGTCAATACCTTCGACTTATATTCCAAGTGAAAACAATTACTTAAATGTTTAATAAAAATAAATCAAAATTAAACTACATGGGGGATTATTCAGGGTATTCCAACTTAGTTGCACCAAAAGGGTATCTTACTATACCAAATTAATCCTTGATTCTTCAAAGTTTAGTTTAGCCATAATAAAAAGGAGTATATAATAGCAATAGAATGTCATAAACAGTGCAGAATAAGTCTGTTCACATTTCAGGCGAAATTTATACTGTTGAGATAGTGTCAAGACATATTTAAGACTGTCAAGAATGTGTCAAGACATATTCAGACATTATTAAGAATGTCAAGAATATGTCAAGACAGATCGAGACAAATTTAAGACAGTCAAGAATTGGTCGAGACTAATCCAGACTCTTATCAGATGATACAGGAAAAGTCGAGAAAATTTAAGACAATGTTCATACTGTCAAGACACTTGTCAAGAAAAATCAAGAACCTTATTAGACAAGTTCATACTATGTCAAGAATTTTTAAAAATTATTCAGACAAATTAAGAATGTTGAGTAAAAATTCATGCAAATTCAGACAAAAACTGGTCTTTTCAGACTTTTTGACTTTTGTAGTGTAAATACTCCAAAAAATGACAAAGTTCAACTATCTCCCAAAAGAGAAAATATGAATAAAAATCAAAACCCTGCCCACATGTACACCTTCAATATATGTACAAACAGCCAGCAAAGTGAAAACTTCCTAAGATTCAAACTGTAGGAGGAGTTAGGCTGAATAACTATATACACATAATGGGACGGACAGACGGATGTACAGAACGGACAGACGGGAGGACGGACGGACGGACAGGGGTAAAACAATATGCCCCCCAACTTTAAGTTGCAGGGGCATAAAAAGATAGGGTATTCACTAGAGACCACATCATGTGGATGTATTAGTATGTTTTCTGCTGGCAAAAACTTTTGCACTTTACAGTATCAAACATTCATACTTCTTACCTATATCTGGACCAAATGGGATGGCAGTAGTGACATTTGGTGCATCTGATGCGGTAAAAGTAGTGTCATTTGGTGCACCTGATTCGGTAGCAGTATTGATTGTATGTGAAGCTTGAGCAGACTCTGAAATATATATCATGTTTTTACTATATTGCTTAACCATACATTTGAATAACATCAATTTTGGGGATTATGGGCAACAAATGTATAAATAGTACTCATGGTTATCATGCTACACTGGTGACAGATCATGACTGAATTTATATTGGAAAGTCAAAAGATAAATGTTTTTAAATATTCGTTTCAGTCTCACATAAAATTAACTTTATCTATGATCCATGTAAATGAAGTCAAGGTCAGATGAATCATGCAAGGCGGCTTTATACTCGTTTCAATCATTCCATACTCTGATTATAGTTGACTTATTGCTTTTAGTATGTAAGAAATAGACCTAATCAAGAAAATTTAACATAAAGCAATGAACCCAAAAAATGAGGTCAAGGTCAGAAAAATCTGCAAGACTGACATGTATATCTTTCAATAATTTTAAAGGCAATAAATTGCTTCGCTGAGCAGATGTCCAACCCTGAAAAGTTGGGGCCAAAATGGACACAATATTCTCACTTAATACAGGTCTGAATTTGGATTGTAATTAAATTTTTGACACATAATAGGTTTCTGACATAGAATAACTGTAGTCAAAGAACTTCAAATTGGTTATATGATTTGAATTTATATTCAATTTTTTATTTTGTGCAATACACTATGCTGTTGCGAATTGACCCCCCCTCCCCCCCCCCCCCCAAAAAAAAATTTACCACGGTTTTTTGCTTTTGTGCATAACACCATGCTGTTGCATATTAACCCCCAAAAAAAATATTTGAAGAAATTTTCTTTTAATTTCTGAAAATCTGAAATGAGAAAAATTGTCCCGCCCCCTCCAATTTTTTTTCACCTCCCCCTTTTCTTTCCCTTATTCCAAAAAAAATTCTTTCCCTCAAGATATGGTCAGTATCTCAATTCAAATTTCTGATGGAGTTTGCAACCATAATTACCCATTTAAATACATCACAAAAGATTTAAAATATAAAATGACATACATAGTTATGGCTAAAATTAATATTAATTAATAGTAACTGCTTAAAATAAATTGACAGCTAATTACCTCAAGACAATCATCATTTCTTAATACATAATTTACAAGCAGTGTAAGGGAGGTAATCAAACATTGGAAACTACAAAAATGCTTATTTGGGCTCCTTTTTTGGCGCCTATTTCCTAAACAGTTAGGACCATAACCCCCAAAATCAATCCAAACCTTCATTTAGTCGTTATAAACCTTGTGTTAAAATTTTATTGATTTCTATTTACTTATACTAAAGTTATTATCCGGAAACCATCTGTCTTCGGACGACGCTGATGATGACGACAACGACGTGATACCAATATACGACCAAAAATATTTTAATTTTTGCGGTCGTATAAAAATGGTTGACCTGCAGCTTGAAGTATCTGCAATACAGACACAATCATGAAAGCTTAAAAATAGGTCTTAATCAGATGAACCCTGCCAAGCAGAGATCTATATATATGTAGGACTCGGAGGTGCGATGGGGATGCTGAAGTGCGATGGTCACGCTGAAGTGTGATGGTCTACGCCGAAGTGTGATGGTCCGTTCGCTGATGTGCGATGGTCTATATGACGCGTGATAGCTAGTTTAAAATCTACAGATGTGCAATTATTATGAGCAGTATAGTTGGTATATAGATTAGCATTCATTATTGTCTATATATGTCATTTGTTACAGTTGCATACAAAATGAACGATAGTCCTCTTTGATTTTCTGCATGTGGACATAATTCTGAGATAACATTTATCTGTACTTTGTTCCTCTCACGAGATCCTCGTTTACCGTTATATTAGAAGAGTCTGCGGACCCGTATGTATTTAGAGAATGCCACGCTCCTTCGTACGTAGCTTGAAAAAAATCTCGTAGATTTCCAAAAAAAATCCGCTACAGAAGGTTTACTTTTCCCTCTCCCGCGATCACACTCCATTTCCCGAAGTATTAAAGGTGTATAAGTTTATTTATTTTGTTTTTACATTGTATCATAGATCAAATTTATTTGTTCAGTATATATTCACTGGTGTTAATATGTCTTTTGGTTGAGTTAAGCCATTTCAATTGATATTTTATAGTGTGTCTTTCTATGTTGGGATGTTACACTATTGTTTCAGATAAAAGTGAAGGTTTGGTACCATTAAAACGTTTAAACCCGCTGCAATTGTTTGCACCTGTCCTAAGTCAGGAATCTGATGTTCAGTAGTTTTCGTTTGTTGATGTGGTTCATAAGTGTTTCTCGTTTCTCGTTTTTTATATAGATTAGACCGTTGGTTTTCCCGTTTGAATGGTTTTACACTAGTAATTTTTGGGGCCCTTTATAGCTTGCTGTTCGGTGTGAGCCAAGGCTCCGTGTTGAAGACCGTACTTTGACCTATAATGGTTTACTTTTATAAATTTTGACTTGGATGGAGAGTTGTCTCATTGGCACTTATACCACATCTTCTTATATCTATATAAGCCCTTTATTAACTTAAAAACCCAAAAACTGCTTCTAACAAACAAATTGACTTCGAAATGAAAAGCATTGAAAATATAGTTTATGTAGTCCATCCCACTTCAGCGTCACTGCCATCGCACTTCGGCGTAGGTATCAACAAGATAGCGTCACAATGCCACCATCGCACTTCAGCGTCAAACCATCGCACATCAGCATGACCATCGCGGTTCGGAGCACCATCGCGGTTCAGAGTCCTACATATATATGTACCTTTACTTCATTCCATACACCAAATGAAGTTGAATGTCCTACTGACTGAGGCAAATTTTGACACAATATTCAAGCTTGATACTGTCTGAATTTGGTTTATGATCATATTTTTGACATAATATAAAGGTTTAAATGTGATCAAAGATCTTAAATAAATGGAGAATGTGTCCCCATGGACACAGATGATGCCCCCGCTTGCATACAACATTATAAAGGGACATAACTCAAGAACCATAAAAGTGACACTACCCAAATTTGTACTTGATCTGAGTTTTGTGGTAATAAGTATTGTGTATAGGTCTCATAATGTTTGGTTGGGAAAAACTTAAGTTACAGAATGGAAACTAAAAACTTTGCAATTTTTCAATTTATAAAGGGGCATTACTCAATAATGATTAAAGTGACGCCATCAAAATTCAACTTGATCTGTATTTTGTGGTAAAAAGCATTGTGTATAAGTTTCATAACATTTGGTTGAGGCAACTTAAGTTAGAGAATGGAAACTAAAAATTTTGCATTGTTTTCCATTTATAAAGGGGCATAACTTGTGAATGGTTAAAGCGACCCCACCAAAATTCAAACTTGATCTGTATTTTGTGGTAATAAGCATTGTGTATAAGTTTCATAACATTTGGTTGAGGCAAACTAATGTTAGAGAACGGAAACCAACTTTGGGACGTACAAACGGACATACGTACAGACAGACAAGGGTAAAACTTAATGCCACACTATGGTGGGGGCATAAAAATCTATTTGGCAATACTGTGCAATTGAAGATTTGAAAAATTTTGAAGAAAAAAAAAGTATGAACCCCTTAAACATGTTAAAAAAATTTGAAACAAAAATCCCCCCCCCCCCCCAACTTTTTGAACCTCCTTGGAGCAATTACCCCCAAACGTAATCCCAGTCGTCCCTTTGTAGTATGGAACCTTTTAGTACAATTTTAGAGAGATCCATACACTTAAACACAAGTTATTGTCTGGAAACTAGAAAAATTATTATTTTTGCTTTTTTGCCCCTAATTCCTTCATGCTTGAGGCAATTACCCCCAAACTCAATCCCAGCCTTCCCTTTGTGATATGGAACATTGTATTACAATGTCAGAGAGATCCATACACTTACACATTTGTAATTAAAGTAATTGTCTGGAAACCAAATGTCTTCGGACAACGACGACACTGACGACGACGTGATAGCATTATACAACTCCAAAATTTTTGCGGTTGTATAAAAACAATTAAACATACTATGAACGATATATATGATATAAATACAAAATTAATTAAAAAGGGGAGTAAAAAAGGAGGCAGGGTGGTAGATGTAAAACAAAACCAGAAAGACAACTCTAACCTTGGACAAAATGCCGTTAAATTAAATAACGTACACAGGTAAATAAAAATAATTTTGTTGTAAGGAGTACATGGAGTACAGAAATATTTTTTACAAAATATATAAATTTGTTGTTCATAGTGCAAGAACAGAAGTAAAAATTTATCAACACACTAAATATTTATCAAAGGTGGTATATATTAAAAATAGTGAGACGAGATATAACACAAAACAAGTAAACATTAAATAACGAAAATAAATACAAATTGTATCAACAGGTCAAAAAACACTAGAGTAAGATTTGAGAGTACTCACAGTTATTGAAAGCTAGTTAAAAGCCAAAATCAATTAATGCAGTCGACTCCACTTAATCGCATCCCGCTTAATAGCATAATTTGGTTAATTGCATAATTTTCTCCTGCACAAAACCATTTCCCATTAACAAGGAATTATTTGAATCTGGAATAATTTTGAATTCTGGAAAATTGATTAGAAATGTATGATGAAAACTAACCCAACTAAATAGTGTTAGCCATGCACGCATGGCTAAGGGGGGTTAGTTAGTTCATACTGAAATGATAGTGAAAGTAAAATTAACCTTAGCCATGCACGCATGGCTAACCCTATTTAGTTGGGTTAGTTTTCATCATATATTTCTCATCAATTTTCCAGAATTCAAAATTATTCCAGATTCAAATAATTCCTTGTTCATTCGTCTTATGTTAAATTATCCGGTTATATGCATAGCCTTACAAGTGGCCTTTCGGTTAATTGCATAGAAATTAATTGCCGGCTAGATATGCTTAGTTCAAACTGACAAGATTTTTGACCGGAAACGGCAATTTGGTAAGTATATTTTTCTTGAATGCATCATTATTTTCGTTATTATTTCATATTCACTTTTGTGTTATTAAAATAAAGTTTTAGAACAGTTTCTTTCGTGTTTATATGATGGAGCTTTA